GATAGATAGATAGATAGATAGATAGATAGATAGATAGATAGATAGATAGATAGATAGATGATACACATATAGACCCATGACCCTGCCCTTCAGCTGGCCACCAGTTCATGGCATCTCATTAAGAACATCCTTCATCAAGAACAGCTTCCCAATAAACCAACCTTTAATATAAAAACAAAAAGATAGAGCAGTCCTATGCAGACAAATCTATATTTAGATTTCGACTGCACTGATTATAGTTTTTAATTTGAGATCAGTTTCCTAATTTTTTGATCTACGGTTTCCTCATGGACAACAGAACAAAACAGTTGTCATTGCAATATAAACATCAGCACTAATGACAGAGGTTAAAAATGATAACTTCTATTTTGTAATGTACAATATGAATTTTTTAAATAATTTCTATAAATTGGTACACCAATTCCTTTAGAACATTATAAATCATCTGAAAGCTATGTTTAATGGCATTTTAAGTAAAAATTGTGGTATAAAAATTTCAATTATGGATATTTGCTAGTTTATAGTACTTATTCTTGATAAATGTAGGGAAATGTTTCATTAATTGACTGATGCTGCTGTTATTTTTACAGATGACTGTATTCATAAAGCCAATGTTCCTAAGGGTTTGCTTCCATTCCTTGAACCCTCTTTCCCCACTACCTTCTCTCCATAGGAAGTCAAATAACCAAATCTCAATAGTTACACCTAGACAGGAAACCTCATGCAAAGGACAAGGGTTTACTTCATCTAATTAAACCTTAACACTGACTAGTTGAACAGTCATTCTATGTGTGCTTTCTTTCACTTAAATTAAAACCGTTCCCAGAGAACTGAGATTTAATGATTTTGTTAAATACTTTAATAAACTATGCCAGAACCATCCTTCCTGTGACCCGGCTTCAACCTTATCAATGCCTCCTGACAACCATCAGAAAGAATGAACCTGACCCATCCACTGGGTTACTAGGGAGGGGAAATGGATGACCCCGGGTGGTGGCCCTGACTGTCAATCATGTCTACAGTACAGAGAGGTGGAAAGCTGCCTGGAAGTACAAACATCTCTGGGCATCTCCTGGGAATTGGTCCCAGGAATATCCAAACCTTCCAGTGCTGAAAGCCCTTTAACAGAATGGTGCATGTTTGCAAGTAACCTACCCTCTTCCTCTTGTAACCTTTAGCTCAGTCTAGATTTCCATGCACTTAATAGAAATTAAATGCTATGGAAATGGTCAGTACTAATATTGTTTAGGTAATAATTCTATGAAAACAAAACAAAAATTCTACTTATGTTTGGTTTGGATGCATTTATGGTTTCAGAAGGGTCATACCATCAAATCTTATGTGACAGTGTGCTAACAATCCACAGCTCAGATCAATGATATGAAAAAAAAAACTTGCTGAATAAATGACAACACAGAAGCAAGTTTTGTTTACATCTGCTGCATCTGAATGACATTCAAACACAGCTAAAGTCACTGCACTTGTCAGAAATGGTGGGAAGGTAGTGACAACAAGAGTATAAGACAGGAACCAATCTTCGTGTTTACTGATCTGCACCTGGATGAGAAGCTTGTGCTCATTCTGAAGATACACTGAGCTGTGTGCTTTTTTGGGTGATGACCCACTTCAACAATGTCTTCCCTCACAATTTATAGTTGGAGCTGGAGAGGCTAGGGGCGCCTGAAATTAGTTTACTTCCGATGTCACATAGCTAATGACTGCCTGTATTTGTCAGCTTCATGGGATTTGAGGTTCTCTTTTGGCTTCTTCAAAAATCCAGTATGCATGTGCACTTAACACTCAAACGCAGACACACACACACAGACACACACCCAATGATGATGACAATAGATGATGATGATGATGAAGAAGATAGAAAGATAGATAGATAGATAGATAGATAGATAGATAGATAGATGATAGATAGCCAGTGAATAAATACATGCATAATAGAGAATAGAGAAAATTAATTGACAGAATAATTGTAGATATAAAGATAAAAGATGGATGATAAATACACAGATAGATTATTGACACATAGAAAGATAAAAGATAGGTAGATAGGTAGATGATAGATAGATAGATAGATAGATACTGACAGACAGATGGACAGATGAATAAATACATAGGTGACAGATAAGCAGAGAAATAGACCAATAATTAATCAATAGAGATAAGTAGATGATTGATAGATGATAGATACATGATTGACACATAGATAGATAAATGGCAGAATACATATATATATATATATATTATATATACATACATATATATACATATTATATATATAATATCATTTTTAAATGTAATAGTTGGGACTCAGCACTTAGGAGCACATCCTACTCAGCCATGATGACCAGAGTTTGGATCCCAGCACTAATGTAACAAGCCAGGGGATTCACATGTGCCTATGACCTGAGGTTAAAGTGTTAAAGGATGAAAGTAGAAGATTGCTAGGACTTGCTGATTCAGACCTAGATTGAGGGAGAGATCCTTCCTCAAAAGACTAGACATATTGATAGAGGAATACCCATGGCTCCCTCCTCTGGCCTCTGCTTCATGAACAGGTGGTGCACACAATTAGAAGTACATTCACATATATATATGAATATATATATACATGCACTCATACCTACATACATACTCACAAACAAGCATGTTTTAAAAGTTATACTTAGAGTTACTTTAAAATGGTATGCATCACCCTCTGCAAGCTACTTGCAGGATTCCCTGCTTCTGTTCTAACATCTGTAAGAAAAGTTTGACCACAAACCATGTCAGAGCATTCACTGAAACACATGTTACTTAATACCCCTAATCTTCCTCAAGCCCTGCATTGTATCCCTGCTGCAAAAAAATTAGATCAAAATCTACCATGTCCACACAAAATCCACACAGTCCTACCTGACCTGACCCTAACAGTCTTCCTGCTGCTCCATTCCTCAAGTGCTCCTCATTGACAAGAGACCCAAGTTGCCCCCTGACCCTGCTCCTCTTCAGGTTCTTTGAGCAAAACTCACCCTCTCTGGTAACACCACCTGTATCTCTCAGAGTCTCTGTTCACAGACAAAGGAAGATGCCCTGTTCCCAACTCCATCCACTTTCTAAAGTAGCACACTGCTTATTGTATTCACTACCCCCTTCTATCTGCTTCCATTTGTCTGTCATGCCCAGGTTAAAGTTCCATTGTCATGGTGATCTTACATGCCTCTAAGATACCACATCTCCAGTGTTCTCCAGAACACAGGAGACAAATAATTTACCATTGAGTTGAAGAATGAGTGAATGCATGGATCAAGGCAGATGTCATTTAATAAACATCAATTGTCATACATTTAGGAACCGTACATCCTAGTTGTCTCCAGAAGAGGAAAGCAATCTCAGGAAGACTTGAAACTCAAGCGCAATCACACATCTCTCTGACTTTGAAAGGACAGAGAAATACTGGTATCAGTCCCCCTCCCCACTGTCAGGACATGCACATATGTTCTATTTATGCTCTCAAAACATATGTGGAATCCTGCATAGCTATCTGGTAGTGAAAAGCCTGGAAGACGTCAATACATTCTCAAAACAATTTCGTAAGTTGTTTTTCTTCGGACAGGATCTCTTGTATTTCAGGGTGGTCTCAAGTTCTGTATGTAGCAAAAGGATGACCTTGACTTCTGTATTGTCCTGCTTCCACTTCCCAAGTTCTGGGATTACATGTGTGTGCCACTAGACCTGAGAAATACTCAAAAGTTTACATTAATTTTTATGTGCATATTTACAAAAATAGTGGCCTACACTTTCAACAAGATTCTGAAAAGATTTAGTGATATCTCCATCATTAAGTAGCTTTATGCCAGGAGTGTTTCAAAGACTTGGGACCTCCATACCTCTATATACTAGATTTCAGCCTCTCCTCTCACCATCTGTGTACCTGTGTAGATGAACATTCCCTGAATAAAATTACATCCTCTGTCTCAGGTCTCAGTTTATTTTCCAAATGCCTGACACTGGACAATCTATAAAAAACAGAGATTTATTTCTTATGGTTCTTGAGACTGGGGGTTTCCAAGTCATTGTAGATACATCTGGAAGGTCTTTCCTTCCATGCCACTCATGTTAAAAGAATGAGAGATGAAAAAATAAATCTGAGGAGGAGAGAGCTGAACTCACTTTGATAGCAAACCCACTCTTGTGACAGATACATTAATGCATTTGTGAGGCAGATCTCAGAAGTAAGGAGGTAAGAGGAGGAAAGAGTGATTGCTGGGATAATGTTTTTTACATTGTGTGAAGGTGTGACTCTGTATCTTAAATTGTTCATTCTATACCAGCAGAGAGCTAAACGCTGACAGGATTCTGGTATTGCCATTTCTATGGTTCATCACTGGGTTTTCTATTTTGTAAAAAATCATCCTTCTTCATCTGCCTAAAGGCAATCAAGAATTGGATCAGAAGTTGTCTTGATGATGGTTGCTTATAATAAGGAGCTGACAGATATTTATTCCTGCTAAGGCAGGAAATATTGGGCAGAACTTTCAGCCAGAAAGAATGAGACAGGGGAAGAAAGCAGAACAGGAGATTCAGAGAGTAGACACACAAAGGAACAGACATGGGATGTAGTGGAGAGAAAGATATAGAGGAGCTAGCCAGTGGTAGGCCATGAGCAAGATATCCCAGTTAGGTTAGATGAAATAGCTGAGAGACTATCCTAGCAAAAAGTCGAAGCTTTAAACTACATTAGAAGCCTCTGTGTCACTACTTATACAGAACACAGGTCCTAAGAAATGATGCCAAGATGATGGTGGTAAGACAAAGAAGAACAGGACAGAACAAAAGGAGTTGTGGAAGGATGCTTTGAAGGTACCACTCTAGGGACTGAAGATGTGTTCCATTGGCAGATTGCTTGTCTGGCATGCCTGAAGCCCTGAGTTTCCTTCTTGTACCCAATAACAGGATGTCATGTATGACCATACACAGCTTTAAAAACAGGTTTTAAAAACAATATTGAAATAATGCCACCCAGTGTAATAGTACTGTAATATATAATTTATTTATTTAAAAAAATTAAAGTGTTAATCTGAAACTATAGAATCTTCATGGTTTTTTAGTTCTAACATTGGCAATTGAGGCAACAGTTTGTCTTTGCTTCTCTACTACTAGCTAAGGTAATGATGTAATAAAGACCTCAATCTTTATATCAAACACATCATGATTAAAACCCACACAACCATCTTAGAACAACACAACTGCCTAGTGGAGTGGATCTAGCTTCTTGAGCCACCATGGAAGCCTCCAGAAAACATTCTAGAGGGCTTGTCAGCACCTTCAAGTTCATCAGCACGTGGGTATAAAGTTGAGCCAAACCTCATGGAGGTGACATGATCTCTAGCAGCTGTCTGAATCAGGCTCATGAAGAAAATGCTTGAGACAGCCAAGCTGATTTCTTCTGGTGTTCACCATTGGATATGACCACCAGTTGGCATCCAAAGCCACCTGTCTGGATCAGCTACCCTTTTTTTCTTTCCTGTTCTATGTGCTATGACTTGAAAATAGTTTAAGTGTCCTCTATGGGTTCACATGCTGGGGGCTCGGTCCCTACAATGGCTGTGTTGAGAGGTGGTTGAGCCTTCAAGTGCTGGAGCCTAATGAAAGACACTGGGTCTTCAGAGCAGATCCACAGAATACTTTAATACTGAACAAGCAGAGAGGATCCTTGGTGAATTGACTATTATAAAATAAGGCCATTCCACATGGTTAGCCTCTTCTGCATGTGACAGATTTTTTTCTTTCCTCTACCGTGTTGTGACTCATGAGAGGACTCCTCACCAGAGTCTGGGAAAAAATGAACTGCTTGATCTTAGACTGCCAAACTCCACAATTAGGAGATGGATGAGCCTTTGATTTATAAGGAACTTAGCCTCTGGACCTTTATGATAGCAACAGAGAACAGATAATGACACCCAGAGACTTGATCTTGCCTGTTTAGTTGAACCACTTCACTTCTTACCATTCTTGGCTTCAGTCAAGCTGTCTCATCCACATTACCAGAAAATTCAACACCTGCCTTGTCTGTGTTACATCATAACATCATGCTCCACTCTTAGCACCAATTGCTGCACAGGAATGACTTCTTTTCAATGCTCATCTTTATCCAAGGAAGTCTTTGTGGCTCTGGCAAGTCCTGCCCCTTATGTAAATCTGTATCAATTCTCAAGTGACCTTAAAATTCCTAATGCTTTGATTTTATCCAATATCACCAAGTGAACAAGTAACTTGACTAATAAATTTTTATAGTTTTATTCTGTATCTACAACCAGACTCTCAGGTCCTGTGGGCCGAGTAACACAGCTTAGCTCTCTGACATTGCCACACACTTAGATCATGGATTTGAACAATTGTTCAAAGCTCCCTGTAGAAGGTAGCAGTTTCCTTTCTCACTACATATTGCCTAGCTTCTTGAAACCTTGTTTGCTTATGACATTATGGATGTCCCTACAGAGAAAAGATGGAACATGTCAGGTAATCGTGACAGGGTACCCTCAGCTCTCACTCTGAGTCTGTGGGCAGCTAGAATGCTCGGGGAGGATTCCACTTTCTTCAGTGGTACAGCCCTTCATAAGTTGTCCATGTCCCAATAAATAGTCCCCACATCCATACGGATTGAAGCAACTATAGTTGCTTCCAAGTAGGAAGGGGCTTCAGAAGCAAAGATAGACATGAGAATGCAAAAGGAAGGAATTAGATGTTCAGAGACTATTTTCAAAAACATACAAAATTAAATGGGATGTTAACTTGACATTTGCAACATGTGGGTAGAACATTTTTAAAACAGTTGTGGCCAAGTGTGTCCCACATGCATCATTCCAGTGTATGAGATGTTAAGTCAAGTGGATCATTAGACTGGAAATAGTAGGGTGGTGACCTTGTCTCAGAAAACTAATTTTAAAAAGTGAATACACCATTGATCCAGGTAGGTGATCTATTAAAAACCAAGAGGTAGCAGGACATTGGGATTGTTGCCGCTGTTTCAGCTCTGTCAATAGGATGTGAGGGAATGAATGTTTATTAATTAGCAATGACCAAGTGATAATTAAACATGGAATCTCACTTGTGAGAACTAGTAAAGATGGTGCCAGAACCAGCTGCTTGGATGGCATGTAGTATTTATAACAGATTAGCCCTACCCACCTACCTACCTACCCACCTTACCTCCTGCCTTCCCTCTCCTCCCCTTTGTCCTGGAACACCTCAGGTTAATCTCTTTTGCTGGCCAAGAAACCTTGTTTGTTGATGCCTCTGATATTTTTCTTTCTCTTCTGGAACAGACAAGCCCCATGAAGTGAAAATATGCATGCTTATACCTCAATAACTATGCTTCTCATACTCCAAACACAGTGCGCCATACACTTCCAACACAGGAAGACTCGCTTGTCAATCTGAGCATGAGCCAACATCTATCACTAGTCAGAATCTCACCCTCCTATCAGCAACCTTTCTACCTGAACTTAAACCCTGAATGAGTCTCTCGCTCTTTCCTCTGAGTGACCTCCAAAAACAAAAGCAGGGGGAAGCCCACACTAAGGCCTCATATAGTTCTCACCTGAATAAAAGACTTGAGGAGGCCTCCTCTGTTCATCTGCAAGAGGTTTCCCAAGAAGGGCAGGGGATAGGGTCCTGGTGGAAGACTGCCATGGGTCTTTGGCTGGCCCCTGATCAAGAGTAGCAAGAAGCCTGTGAGGAGAGCAAGGAGGAGCAGGACACTGAGCTCCATGTTCCTGAACTAAACACTGTCCTCTTCACTGCACACTCCAGAAGAAACTTTTATGCTGAACCTGCCTCTCCATTCACTTATGCAACTTCAGCTGTTCCCACGCCCTGTCATTGTCCAGGTGTGTGAGCATCATACTTCCTGTTTGGACTGCTGGTGACCTGCTCACTCCCTATTCTATTACCCCTATACTGTGGTTGGCAAGGACACCTTGAAATAGATACACAGGACAAAAGGACACTGGGAGTGGTGCCTCATTGTTTCTGGGGGTGGGTGTGTGCTTGTCAGCTCAGCTTTGTCTGTTTCCTTACTCAGGCACGCACCTGTGTGTGTACTGCATATGTGAGTGATATTTCTAATGTGAATGTGCACGTGTGTCCTTCTGTGTTCCTCTAGATACATTTGAATGTGCACATGTGACTACTTTTTCAAGACAATGTTTCTCTATGTAGCCAAACTTGCTCTATAGACTAGTCTGGCCTCAAACTCAGAGAACATCCTGCCTTTGCTTTCTGAATGTTGTGATTAAATGTGTATGTGTGTGTATATTCTTCCACTGTCAAGCTACTCTGTATATTCTTAGTTTCATGTGGTACTTGAGTGACAGGGATAGAGTTGCATGTTACTGTGTGAGTCTCAGTGTGTTTGTACAAACCCCAAGCCTAGTACAGATGTGATAGATCCAGAGTCCACATTTTACTCTCTAGCCTGTGACAGCCACAGATGAGCTATAGTGGTTTGAATAGGTATGTCCTCCATAGATTCATGTCATTGAATGGTTGACCCACAAGCACTGGCACTATTAGGAGATGCGGCCTTATTACAGAAAGTGTGGCCTTGTTAGAGGAAACGTGTCACTATAGAGGTGGGGTTTGAAGCATATACGCTCAAACTACACCTAGTATAGAAGCCAGGCCCTTCTTTTGCCTTTAAATCAACACATAGAACTCTAGCTCCTTCCTTAGCACCAAATCTTCCTGAACTCTATCATTTGTCCTACCACGGTGATAATGGACCAAACCTCTGAAACTGTAAGCCAGACACAATGAAATGTTTTCTTTATAAGAGTTGCCTTGGTTGTAGTGATTCTTCACAGCGGTGGAAACCTTAACCAAGAAAAGAGGAACTGAAAAAGTGAGAGAGGGGACAGATACCTGCATGGTGAGGTACAGTCAGGTGGACAGAGAGGCTTCAGCCTGGCAAAGGAGCAGTTGGAGACTCTAGATCTCTGATTACTGTGACTGGTAATCACTTCCTCCTGGCTGTCTACAGGGACATGAAGCTCCCTGACCTTCCTCTTGCTATCTCTCTTTTCAGACTATGTTTCTGTTCCCTCCTATAGACTCTGAGCTACAGGATGGAGAGTCTGTCTTAGTTTGTTTTCTGAAGTCTGAAGCAGAATACAAGAGACTGAGTGATTATGATGAGGCGACATTTTAGAAGTAGAACACATCACCAGGACCTGGTAAGGCCTTTGCGCTGTACTATAACATGTCACAGGGGCAAGCAAGTGTGCCTAAGGCTGGGAGAGTTAAAAAGAAGCCTGAATATGCTCTTACAAGACACACTCCTATGGTAATGACAGCAATCCGTTCACAAACACCATGGCTAGAATGTGAAATATTTCCCATGACTCTACGTGTTTGAACTCTTGATCTCTAACCAGTAGTGTTCTTAGAATGTTCTGTGCCCTTTAACATGGAATACTTAGCAGAAAGAAGTATGTTCATTGAGGGACTTTCTATCTCCATCCTCTTCTCTCTCCTTCCTATATGCCTTACACTCCCAGAGCAAACATAGTGCCCACCTGCATGCCTTTTTGCCATGAATCTGACCATAAGTAAGTCCTTCACACTTGCTTCTAAGCAGATTATTTAGCCATAGTGATGAACAAATTAACTAAAGCAGAAAATCAGTACCAGGCATAGGGTTGTTATGTGGTTGGCTTAAAATCCAGGGTGGTTTTGGCTCCAGCATTGACATGGGGGATTATGACTGACCACAAATAAGAAGGGGAAAAAAGGCATGTGCAAGGGAAAGATCAAGCCAGGCTATAACTGTAAGCACAATCTATGTAATTTGCTACCCCCAGCCCCCTCTTAAACACAACTGCCAAAAATATCACTGTCAGTCCGCATCTGCATGGCCTCTTGGGGAGGCAGAACTTGGGCAGTTAAACTGCGAGTATCCCATGCCTCCACGAGGATCCCATGCCTCCACGAGGGCAGGTGCCAGGCTGTAGGGAAGCACCAAGACATGGCTCCGGGTAGTAAAGACAGTCAGGGATATGGGAAAGCCAGAACTGGTTTGAGGCTCCCCAGGGCTGTGACAAGGCCAGGGCCATGGGGTTCTCAGACTCTTGGACATCTGCATGCCACTGAGAGTCACAGAAGAGCAGGGAATGGAGTCAGGAGCTCGTGGGCTCGAGACAACACCTAGTCTGGTCCAGGGGAAAGAGGAGCTCTGGTCTGTCCCAGGGGCAACTGTCCTTACCTCGGAAGTAGGCTTGGTGGCAGTTGCGGCTGGGAGTACAGAGAGGCCTTTGAAGGGAGAATTAAGTTGTAGCTCTTTAGCTGATTGCCTTGTCCATTGCTCCCCATGATGGATCCTGATGAGAGAGACAATCCATGTTTCTAAACAGTTTATTGGTTGTTCGTAGTGGAAAATGGATGCATGATGTACCATCCCCATTTCTCAGGGTAGACTTCAGATTAAATACCTTTTACAGGGAAGAACGTCTGGGAAGGGAAGCTTATTGGTTAAGTCCTCTGAGCTTCTAGATACCTCGTTATCATGGAGAACTCTGTTTTGGGTCTACATGACCATAGGACACATTTCTTTATGTGAGGAGAGTGGCACATGTTCCAGGCCAGGAGTCTGGAAAGGGGCAGAGAGTCACCTAAGTCTCAGGTGTGTGCCCACCGAGTCTCTAGGTCTCAACCTGCTCTATTTTACCAAACTTCCTGGGATGGTTTTACCATCTAACATATCATCACCAAGACCATCTGTTCAAACAAGTAAACTGGTAAGAAACATCCCACAACCAAATCACAATATAAAGATAAAATCAGAATGACCTAATCACATTTTAAACATCTCACTTCTTATTTCATTGCTTTATTAAGTGAACTGTGTTATTTTAAAAACTCGGAAATTGATTAGGCCCAAGGTCTATACATCTCAGTGAACATCTATTCAGTCAAAAAAGCCACTGTGAACCGGTACAGCTTTGTGCTGTTGTTTGTTTTGCTTTTTTGTTTTGTTTTGATTTGATGTGTATAGGTGTTTCATCTTAACATATAGATGTTCACCATGTGCATGTCTGGTGCCCAAGAGGTCAGGAGAGGCCACTGTATGCCTGGAAATTAGAGTTACATATGGGTTTGAGCCATGATGTAGGTGCTGAGAACTGAATCCAGGTCCTCTGAAAGAACAGCAAGTGTTCTTAACTGCTGAACAACCTTCCCAACTGACATATCATTCCCTAATTCAGTTATAGTGCAAGGCTTCCTAGGCTCCAAGTGAGCCAGGATTTATTCATTCTGGAGTAGAGGGAAGCAGAGGCTTTGGGTTCAAGTCCAGCTCTTCCACCTGCCTCTATTCCATTTACGTTTCAGCATGAACTTTAGAGGGAATATTCAGCAATTAGCACTCTGGCCTGATTTCTCCCCTAAAAGTAACTATGCCCTATTCTCAAAGAAAAGATATTTAATGTATCCTAATACCCCAAACTTTTAATTTCAAAAAGTGTTTCCCATAGATCACCATGTAATTTATCAATTTTGTGGGCATCATTCCATTGTGAACTACATACTGTTGAGGTTTTGTCTTACTGTTTATTGTAATCTAAGTGCTGGCCTCTAAGATTTGGAATCTGCACATAGCCTTGGGGACCCTGCCCCTAGTTAATTCTGATTGGTAAATAAAGATGCCAGCAGCTGACACCTGGGGAGAAGAGACATAAGTGTGGGTGGGGGTAGGCTTCCCAGGCTAGAGATCCAGAGGAAGGAGAAGGGGAAAGAAGACACCATGGGAGAGGAAGAAAGTGCAGGAGGGAGACGGAGAACTGCAATAAGAACTGCAATAAGATAGCTGAGCCATAAAAATGTGGCCATGTGGGCTGACCATTTGGAGTTAAGAGCAGCCCAGACAGAACATAAAAATTAGTCAGTAGTAACGCAGAGTTATCAATAGGAAAATAGATTCTAACAACATGGAGGTTAGGGAATTACCCAGCTATTGTTTTGCCTAAGACATATTTTAAAATAGAAGGTTGTGTGTAACTTTTATCTGGAACATAAATGGTCAAAGGTGGGAAGTAACCCCACAGCAAGATTCATTAAATCTATATTACAACATACTGGTATAAATCATACTGACCAGGGTCATCTTGGATCTTCCTTATTTATGACATAAATTGTATCTTATCTGAACATTTGACAAGAAAAGTGGTGACAAAAAATGAACCTGGAAGGATATGAGTCCTCTGTAGAGAAGAGAGGAAGATGGAGAGGGAAATGAATAAGGGCCAGCCAGTTTGACAACACTCACCTCTACAGAGTTATGTAGACATTATAGAACACAACTGGTTAGAGATGGGCTCAGTTGATGGAATATATTCCTAGCATACATGAAGACTCATATTTACCTTCAACACTGAGTAAAGTGAGTGTGATAATGAACACTTATAATCTCAGGACCCTGAGGGTGGAGCTGCAACCTAAGGTCATTCTTGACTGGATACGGTTTACAGTTACAGTGATCTTCCCAAAGTATTTTCAACACAAGGCATATCAGTTATCTAAGACCCCAAAACATCAACATCATGTACTCCTCACATGGATCGGCATCATGGTGCCCCAGTGGTCAAGGATCACCCAATGTATATGATTATCCTGATAGACAAGCAGGTCAAAAGCAACCTAAAATTTCAATGGACTTCCTTCTTTCATTCTTTTCTTGCTGTGACGACCTCAGCACAAGGTAGCCAAAAAAGACTGAATA